TGAACAAAGTATATGGGGGTGTACTCTGTTATTTCTTCAAATGGCATTTTGACCTATAATCATTTCAATAAAATTTTTAATTAAAAAATATGGAATCATAAATTACAGTACTTAGGTAACACAAATTGTTGAGACTTACAGACAGCTCCACTCGACATGGTCACTCAAGGATCCAGGTTCTTTCTGCTTTGTTGCTTCAGCATCCCAAAGGGTGATTCCTCATCCACGGGTTAAAACCAACTCAAGGCCAAGCTGAGTTTAGGATTATTAGAAGGAAGAAAGGGGAAAATCTATTCCCTTTTAGGCATGTAGTACAGGAGTTGCACACATCATTTCCATCACACCTAACCATCGGGGCACACATATCTGCGAGGAAGGCTGGTAAGTACAGTTTCTATGCTGGATGTTCATGTGTTAGTAAATCACTATTATTGTAGAGGAGGAAAAACACATTTTGGGTAGGTAGCAGCCAGCAATCTTCCACAAAATACAAACTGGTTTTATTACTTGATGTAGTATGTTTTTCACTGTGTGCCAAAAACGCCTTCTTCTGGGGAAACTACATGTGGCACTTTCTATAATACTCTCTCTGGCCAGTGGTTGAGTGAGAAGCCTCATTTGTGATAGGCGGAATAACGGCCCCCAAAAGTGTCCATATCCTGGTCCCTAGAACCTGTGAATGTTATTTTACATGGCACAGGGGACCTTGAAGCTGTGATTAGGTTCAGGATCTTTAGGTGGGATGTTATCTAGATTGTCTACATGGGCCCTTAATGTACTCATACAGGTCTTTATAGTAGAGAGGGAAAGGAAGATTAAACTCAGAAGAGAAAAGGCCATGTGACAATAACAGAAGCAGGCAGATTTCAGCTCCTATGTTATTGAGTGGGTGGAGATGGGCCATGAGCCAAGGGATGCAAAGTATACAGCTCTAGAAGCTGGAAAAGGAAAAGAAGCAAATTCTCCTCTAGTTCCTTCATAGAGAACTAAACCAATACCTTGACTTTGTTCACTGAAAATGTTCTCCGATTTCTAGCCTCCAGAACTGTAATACAGTAAATGTATGTGGCTTTAAGCCACTAAGTTTATGGTAAATTTGTTACTGCAGCTACAGGAACTAGTACATCATCACAGGATAAAAAATAATCCAGTTTCAATCAGTCAGAAGATATCATCCCCCAGCTGATCATTGAGCAGTTAAGCTATGGTCACATGACCCCTGATTATCCAATAAGAGTCTTCACTAGGACTTTTACTGAAAAAAACTGTCTTTTTTTAAGAGTCTAGTGAATAATGAAACTATTGGCTATGGCTGCAAACAAATTCCATCTTACTGCAACAGGGACAGGACCAGTCAAACAGTAGCAGTGAGCTGAGAGAAGGAAAGACAGAGGCCCAGAAGCTAGGTCTATCTTTTGAACTTCCATTTACAAAAATCAATCATCCCTATCTTTGATTTGCCTATATTGTGATGAATTGTATGATTTCCAGTTCAAAAATACATAATTAACATAGTTGGTATCCATGTTCCTCAATTCCTGAAAGCACCAAAGAACAAAGCATGTGACATAGCCTACGGCATCTCAGGGGATCTTTTGTGTCCTAGGAAAGCTCCAAAGTTTGAGCTTCCTTATTTCCTAGATCCTTTAGAAAGAGTTTTTCCTGTGAATTCTAGTAAAAGTCCCAGGGAAGAACCTGATTGGATAATTACAGGTTTTGTGACCATCTTTTAACCAATCATTGTAGTTGAGAGATAAAATCACTCTTGGCCAAGGCACTCAAAATCACATGAAGTTTGTTTGCATTTTTTTAGAATTTCTTTTTCTTTTTTCTTTTTGTGGTACTGCAGACTGATCTCAGGGCTTCGCACATGCTAGGAAAGTGCTCTACATGCCTAACTCTAACACAGAGTTTCAATCAGCACTAAACAGTTATTTTAATCACTACTGAGCAAGGCACAGATATTAATTATGAGATATTTCAAAAGTTTTTTAAAGGAAAAGAAAAACCACTGACCCAAATAGGATGCTTGATAATTCTTAATAAGTACTATAAATGCTTCTAAGAGGACATTAAGATGCTTAATTGCGGAGTAAATGAAATATAAACATTCATTATGTTACTTAGAGAGTTCCTTAATATGAAATGGGGAAAACAGTTTATCAAATGCACTGTAAGTAATAAATGCTTATTTCCTTTTCGAAAACAAATCAATTCTTGAAATCATTAACCACCATTTAAATGTAGCTTGATTTTTTAATACTTATTGCCCTTTTTAACATTTTCTTATTGTGGGTGAAAATAGGTTTATTCCAGAGATACAGCAGCAGTTAGCAAAGATCACGGAGAGCAAAGAGACTTGGATCCAGAAACCTTGGCTTTCTATCTCAGCCCTGTCTTTTAGTTCCATGACCTTGGCAGAGTCAGTTAGCCTTGCTTGGTTTCCAGGGATAGTGTGGTACTGTTATAAGGACTCTCTTACTCATCTCAGAGAGTTGAGGTACTTCTGCTTGGCCATAACACTTCTAGGGAAGTGATTCTCAGCCCTTATTGTACATAGGAATCACCTGGGGATTTTGCTAAAGTACAGATTTTTCATTTGTTAAGTCTAGAGTTGGTCTGATGCAAGAACCAACATTTCTAAAAAGCTCTCAGGTGATGTTAATGTTACTGGTACACACTTTTGGGTACCAAGATTTTGGGGGTGTCTGGCAAGCTTGCAATAATTTCTTCAGAAACTGCCCCGGCTTATAATGGTGGGCCACTGATAGTTGTTCTTGTATTCCTTGCCATAGTTAACTATAGCAGAGGTGAATTATGACCCAAGACAGTTCCAAATAATGCTTCACCCTCCAACCTGGGATTTTGAACAGGGAAAACCAAAGACATGCTGTTTATTTATTTGCTTATCTGTCAAATTAAAAATTCTCTTTCTGTGCCATACACTAATTATAAGTGGAGGCACCATCGATAAAGTGAGTCTTTGTTCCCATGGAGCTTTCGTCCTACTTATACACAAGATAATTTCAGACAGGATAAGTGCTTGGAAGGGACTGAAGAAGTGAAAACTTAAAATTGATGTTTTTCGAAAGCTAAGCTCATACTTCTTCTGCAGAGACCTCAGAGGCTGTATGTTGAAGGTGATAGCATAGCAAATCAAAGAGTGAGTGTGTGGAGCAGAGCACCCACTCCTTTCCTGTGAGCTGAATTGGACTGTGATGAGAGTAAGAAATGCACTTTTATTGCTAAAAACCATTAAGATTTTAGAGCTAACACATAACCTAGCAATGCTTACTGTAAACATATGTGGCCGTTCAACACTTTCTGAGATTCTAAAAATCGCCCTTTTAACTTATGTGAGCTAAAGTTGCTCTCTACTACTCAAAACCCTAGAACCTTAACATCAGGACTGGTAAATGTGAAAAACAAAGTATTAACATGTAAATTCACACTGAGGTCATTTTCATTCTCTGGTTGTTTCTATCTTAGATTTCTTGTTCAGACTTTTATAAAATGAACTCAACCAAATTGCAGTGGAAACTTAAGGAAGTAATTATAAAATTTGTAATTTTCCTTTAAAACACTTATATTGGGAGAGAGACCTTGGTGACAGATGAATATTAACATTTAAATTCACTGTTTTTCATGTTTATCAACACATGGGAAATCTGAATGTCCTTCAGAGGACCCTGGAATCACCCATTGGAAATCTATCTTCTGTACTGAGTCTTCAGGGGGTCCTTTCTTCCTTGGCTACTGGTCTTGAAAGCATATAACTTGTTCCCCTGAGTACCTTCTTCTTCTCTTCTAATTTTCATATATAATAGGCAATTACAGCAAGGCTGTCCCTTAAGACTGCCTGGTACAACCCTCTCTCAGTCTCCTAAGAACTATGGCTAGATCACAGCTGAGGACAAGACAGGCAGGAAAGCCAGGGTCCTAACAGAGAGGCCAAATGACAGGGATTTGGCTTCATCTCACCTTCAATAATTTTTGTATCCAAGGGTTTGAGTTTGTCCCTGTGATTTTAGCTCTTAGTGAAACCTGAGCAGTGAATGACATAATTCATATGAACCTCTTTGAGTTCAAATGTGGTACCAGTTCTATTGGCAAGAGCAGCAAATGAAGTCAAGACCTCCATCCTTTGAGTTACCAACAGGACATCCTCCCAAGCCAAGGGTTGGTTCTAAGGCACACGTTTGTCGGGGGAGGGGGGTACGAGAGAGTATAAGTGTGCAACTTTGCAAAGAACTAGACTGCTGATGAGGAGGCAGAAGATGGGCCCATCAGGGAGACCTTTAAATGAGAATGCCAACCTTCCTTTCCAGGCTTTTAAGTCCTTAGTCCCTTCAGCAACAAAGGTTAGTCTTGGTATCATTGCCTGTTCAGTGACTGAAATTTGTGGAGCGGGGAAAATCAGGAACACAAGAAAACATGGACACACATAGATGTAGAAACTCGGAGAAACTAGGCTTTATTCACTAGAGTGAATATCCAGTTACCTAGGGAGCCTCATACATCACCATCCATTTTCCACCCACACACCCATCCATCCATCCATCCAAGCAATATTGACTGAGCTGGGCTCATCAGTCCAGTACTCAGGGTTGAGGGTCCACAAACGCAGAAGTGGACATCTAAAGGCTGAAATTGGATGTGGGAAGTGTAGAAGAGGTCACCCTGAAAGGGCTTCAGCTACTCTGGAACCCAAGAGCTGGGAGAGTTGGGGAGATTTATGAAGTGAACCTGATGCCCAACAGGTGAGAGAGGAAAAGCCACCTGTGCATCACAGAGATGCCGGGACCTCCGGAATTCCTAGAGAGGCCCGGAAGTGGGCCCAGGAGCTCGGTCCTACAGCTCTGACTCCCGGGCGGGGACAGCGGGCAGCACGGAAGTTCTGGCCCCCCCTGGCGCGCACCGTCCTCGGGCCGCGCTGTCACCGTTTCCAGCCGCTGTGAGTGGACCGGGGTCGGGAGGGCCTGCGGGACAGCCGAGGGTGACAGGTGGCAGCCCTGGGGGGGACGGTAGTGCGTCACAGCCAGCTAGGTGTCAGGGATGTCATTTTCTCTGTGGTTCCAAGGTGCCGGCTCAGCTCGGTTTTCCAGAATGTCGCCAAAGCGTCGGACAGTGGCCTCCTCTTTTTCTTCTTTTGCTTTTTGCTTTTATTCTTCAGACAGCCGTTCCCGAGTTCAGGGCCTTCCACCGGTGCCTAGCCAGGCTGATTCACAGTTTTCATTTTCATCGCACTTTGGGGACAAGATTGGCTTTCTCCGCGTGACAAATGACTCCGACTTCCTAGTCAAAGTGGCACTATGAGGTTGCCGTTTAAAAGTGAATTATTGTAAAAAGGTAAGGGTGAGGTTCCAGTAAGACCTAGTAGGTGACTGATTAAAACCGATCTGGAAAGGTAATGACCTAAGGGCTTTGTCCCAACCCCAGTGTGAGGCTTTGTATTTGGTGCTTAAGAGTCAGACAGGCCCGGCTTCAAGCCCTGCATGCAGCTCAGCCACAGAGGACCTGCGTGGTTTGTAGGCTGCGTTCTTTTCCTAATCACTGAAAAGCTGATCATTCTGGTAACTTCCCCAAGGTTGTCCTCAAGCTTTCATGGCAAACCTTTAAGGCACCTCCCAGTAATAAACAATAAATGTAGACAGGGTTGATATTATTTTCATTTTAGGCAGGAAGAGAGGGTATCAGAGAGGTTTAGTGAGTTGCCCAGGGCCACACAGGGAGTTGGTGGAAGAGCCAAATCCAGGACTCAGATCTTATGATTTCCAACCTAGGAAACTTAACCCTGCACTGTGTGTCCTCTCTGGTTGACAGGCAGAGATAAAGCAACTCTTCCTTTTCCCTCCGGGAACTGGAAGGGCCCCTGTGAGGTTGCAGAATGTGTTAACTGTGGACGCACATGCAGGCTTGGGTCAGCATGGACTCTGTGCCCAGCACTCCAGATCAAGGGCTCTGCACAGCCCCCAAGAGCTGCTGAGGTTAGGACATGAGTATCAGAGTCAGATGTTCCTGGGTTCTGGTGAGCATATGTATCTGTGTTCTACCATCTACTGACTGTGGGACTTGGGGTAGTCCCTGAGCCTAGGATTTCTCTGTGTAAAATGTGGTCAGCTAATTAGTACTCATTTCAGAGGAATGTCATGAGCAACATGTGAAACCATTTGTGGACAGGGCAAAGCACAAGGCCTGGCGGAGTAACCACTTATTAAATGACTGGGACGCTGCTTGGAAGTGTTGAGGAGCAGACATGCTGACCTTAAGAGGGGAGGAAGTACAAGTAAGGTACCCTTCCCCACAGCTATGGTGAGGGGACACTTGAGAAGCTTGCGTGTCCATCCCATTCAGGTGACGGGGTCTGCAGTCTTCCAGCTGTTCCTATCCCCACACATACAACATGGAAGCTGCACAGGTGCCCATGGAGGCTGAGAAGGTGGACGTTCACCTAACTAAATGCCTTTAGTTAACTTTCCTCCCACATGGGTTCAGCCTTCAAGGCTTCACACTCCCCATCCCTATTCATGTGCATCAGGGTTCCTCTCCTTAATGTCTCAGCTACTTTATCTTTATTGCTGTGACTGCATTAAATACAAATAAATAATTTTCCTATCCTGCATAAAACCCAAACAGCACCATCATGTAAACCCTGTTTGTTCAATATGTTTTCTGGGTCTCAACACAAAGAACAGTTACCTTTGACCTCTGATCAGTACTTGTGAAGAAAGGTAAAACACCTAATCACAGGGTCACACTACCTAGATGTATTTTTAATCTTCTCACAGTAAACCTAGTGTTTTGGGTTTTTTTGTTGTTGTTGTTGTTTGAGACCTGGTCTCACTATGTAGCCCAGGCTGGCCTCAAACTGGCAATCCTACCATTTCTGCCTCTCCAGTGCTGGGATTACAGACATGTGTTTTACTTGTATGAAAGCAGTTTTAAATTCTCTCTGTGCCACATCTTGTTGGTGAAGTGCTAATGGCACCTTTACCTCCACGTTGCACTGAGATGAAATGTAGACGCACTCCCCCAGGAAGAGGGAGGGGATGGGAGGATTAGTAGGACCACGGTGCTGAACTCAGGATGGAGGAACTGTGTGCGCAATCTAAGATTCTTAATACTGAATCTTAGCATTTAATTAGGTCTCTGTGACTAATGTACTCTCAGTCATCATACCTGTTTCTGCTCCTAACTTCCCGGTCAGGTGTCAGATATCACTTCACCTTAGTATTATCATCAGGCCAGGTGGATTTTTAATTTCCTTTTTTCCCCTGTCTAATTAAGATTCCTTTTTCTTGATCATGTGCTTAACTTTAATCTTTTTCCACTAAATTGACAGCTCAGGTCAAATGCAGCCCTCCCTGGCTCTTATAAGAAAGCAATTACTGAACAAAACCATATTTTGGAAGAGCCTTCAGAAGTTGCCCTTATAAAGGCAGGTCTGAGAGCTCAACCCTAGAAGGAATCAGATGGGAACCAATTAATAAAACAGAAACCATAAGGTAGACAAAAATTGGACAACTGCTTGAAGAAAAACCACGTGTACTCTCTCTCTTTCTGGCTTATGATTCATGAGACTTTCCTAGGGTTTTCTGCAGAATGTGTTTGCCGAGATTGTTTTATGTGTTTATTGATATAGAAGACCAGGAAGGGAGGGGAAGACTGTGGTGCCCTTAATGACTACAAGGTTTCACCAACCTTTTTATTGCTGTTTGTCTTGCTAAATTACAGGCTTTAGCTCTGACCCTTCTGGTCAGGTCGAGCTCTTGCCTCTGATCACTGGAGCTAGTTGGAAGGTAATGAGGGAGGAATAGCATAGATAGGCCTGGCCCATTTCTGAAGCCCTTATAATCTCTAATCACACATTCCTGGCCTGACCAATGCACACATGAACCATGACTGACCTGTGCTGTTGTGACTGGCCCAGAGTGTGTAATCATAAAAAAAGAGAAAGAGTAATTTGAAGTATTTCTCACGTGATTTTTTTAAACTGAATTCTTTGAGACCTGTCCATTTTCTGGGTCCCTTAAGGTGGAACTCTTTTTTTTTTTTTTTGGGGCAATATTGGCATTTGAACTTCGGACCTCACACTTGCTAGGTAAGCACTCTATTACTGGAGCGATCCCAACCTATTTTGCTTTAGTTTGTTTTTTGAATAGGGTCTCACACTTTTGCCCAAGGCCAACCTTGGACTGTGATACTCCTACCTCTCCCTTTCACTTAGCTGGGACAAGTATGCCCCACCATGCCTGACCCCATAGTGGAACTCTTGCAGAGACATTTAGAAAATATTAAACTCTTTTATCAGGCATCCTGTGAGTCACAACTCTTTTAACAAGATGAAATATTTCCAGAATCCTCCGTTTCCATTAATGCCATCCCCATCCTCCAGCTTCACCTGCACACTGCCTACTGTGGCCTCATTCAGTTTCTTGTCACCTCTCACCCTGTTTCCAGCTGAGCATGTGGTATATAGTCTTCACGGATGGTGTCCAGCCTAGATGAGCTTCCAGCTTACCCCTGGCTTCACCTCCAACCTGGTTCCAGCCTTCACTAGAGGAAGCTTGCTTTTCAGTAAGGACCAAGGCCACCCTGCTAATTCTCTGCTACAAACCTAAAAAGGCTTCCTAAGGTTCACAGAATGGAGTTGAGACTCCCCAGAAGACAATGCAAGGCTGTCTCCAAGATGACCCCAGCCTGTCCATCTTCCCCAAAGCATAGCTGCACTTTGTGGCTTCAGTTTGCACCCCAGCCACAATGACTCACCATGTCAGTTGCCCAACACAGCCTTCCCTGTGGCTCTCCAGTTCCCAGTGATAAACCCTGCACCTCATCTCAGCTTGTCTGAAACCTCAGAGATCCAGGCTCAGCTCTGAGCTCACTCTTCTAGGAAGTGCTCCCTGCTGCCTATCATAAAGGGGCTTCCCAACCTACCTGTTCCCTCAGCGCTGTGTTCATACTAACTTGGAACAGTGATCTTGGTTTTTTCCACTGTTTACTTGTGTATGGTAATGGTTTGGTCACCAGCTTGTGGGACCTTTAGGAAGTTGGGCCTAGTGGAAGAAAATTAGGTCATTGGGGGCATGACCTTGAAGGGGATAGTGGGACCCAGCCCCGTCCTCTCTCTTGGCTTCCTGACTTTGCTCCACCATCCCTTGGTGCTTTGATATAGTACCTCACATGGGCCCCAAAACAATGGATTCAACTGATCATGGACTAAAACTGTGTGCCAAAATAAACTTTTCCTCTATGTAAGTTGTTCAAGTATTTGTCTCAGTGATGGAAAGCTGACTAGCACACTTTATCCTTTACATGTTTTTATGGTGGATTTCTTTTATTCATTATTTTTTTGGAGGGTGGGACTGGGGTTTGAACTCGGGGTTTCACACTTGCAAAGTAGTCACTCTATCACCTGGGCCATGCCTTCTGTCCATTTTTGCTCTGGTTATTTTTGAAGATGGGGTCTTGAGAACTAGTTGCCTGGGCTGGCTTTGAACCTTGATCCTCCCTATCTCAGCCTCCCAAGTAGCTAGGATTACAGGCGTGAGCCACTGGCACCCAGCTGATTTCTTTTATTTTTTAATTTTTGGTGGCACTGGTGTTTGACTCAGAGCATCACACTTGCTAGGCAGGTGCTCTTTCGCTTGAGCCACGCCCTCAGCCCCCTATAGATGTTTACAAAAGTCTCTGTCTTATTGAGCTTGGTGTCCTTTTCATCCCATAACTCATCACCTTCTAGGAGGTAAAGTTAAAGTGGCAGCATTAAACTGCATGCACAACAATGACTCTTAGTTCAGGGTCCCTTCCTAATTTGTGCCTGTCGCCGTCTTGCTAAATTAGATGTATTTCATGGAGTTCAAAATCTCCATGAGTCCAGCTGCTGTGCTCTGGGTTCAAGTGAGGACACTGCATGAAAAAGGCAGGCCTCAGTTCTCACGTAACCTCTGTTCTATGGGGAGGAGATCAATAATTTTTTAAAAAGTAAACAGTTTTAGATGACAAGATGTGCTGGAAGAAAATAGAGCAGCATGTAGAGTAAGGGGGAGCTCTGTTAGATAGGATAGCCAGAAGCCTCTCTGAGGAGGTGATATCTGAGCAGACTTTGATGTTGAGAAAGCTGCAGCCAGGCAAGGACCTGGTGGAGCCGTGTGTCACACCAAGGTGAGAACAGGAAGCACTGGTGGGCTTGGCAACTTTTAGGACAGAAGAGAAAGTCCATGTGATTGGAGTGCAGAGTGTCAGTGGCTAAAGATGGGCAGATGAGACCAGTCAGGAGGTGAAGGTCAGAAGGATTCAGTGTCAGTACCTGATATCTACTGTGCCTGTCAACAGCATCGTGTAGCAGAATGGACTACATTTATTTTTATGGCTACCCCAAATCCAAAAGGGAGCATTCTACACAGAAAACAGAGCTGAGGTGTAGCCCACTTGTAGAGTACTTGCCCAGCATGTGTGGTTCAGTACCTAGCACCACAAAACAAAATTATAAAGTCATAGTTAGGTATAATTAGATGTGTCAAAGGTGTGCATTGCATTGGTCTTCATAAGTTTTCCTGTAAGCACAGCTGTGGCACTAGCCTAGTGGAACGTTTAGAAGCCATCGGTCATCCTCCACAGTTTTTCTCAGTTCCTCTGGTGTTTCTTTCTCTTCTTCCACATAACCTCAAGTTCCGTGTCTCTTGGTGAACTTTGTCACTGACTCTGCATGGATGACCTGATTAGCCTCCCTGTCGATCTGGTACACTCCACAGGTATCCAGAAGAATTTGTCCACCTCTTTATAACCCTGTGCTTTTGAGAAGTCTAGCTATGTGTGGCCTGTGAAAATAAACAACTCAAATTCCCAGACTTTAGAGCTTGAGGGAGAGGAGATTTGAGAAGGAGCATCCATAGGATGCCCAAGCTATGTCAGCTACTGCAGGATCTTCACAAGCCCGGGAGCTTGTCATCAGCTCTATGTTCTGATCAAAGCCACAGGCTCAGTGGGATTAACTAGTCCAAGTCACACAACTGGTAAATGGGCTCTGAAGTCCATTTTCTTTCCTCATTCAGAGTCAGTGTTTTAGGACTAAAAGTATAGACTCCTGGGGTCAACCTGCCATTGGTGTAACCCCAGGTAAGCTTGGGAAAGTTATTTATCCTCTCTGTGCTCTGTTTTCCTTAGCTGGAAGACAGGTGCTAGTAGTATTTTCCTGGTGGGATTATTAAAAGGATTAGCTAGCTCATAGATGTGTGAGTGCTTACCGTGCTGCCCGGCATCTAGTAGCAAGCACTGCCAATGTCTGTCATTGTTATTCTTTCCACGGCTTTTTCAGAAGCTTTAATAAACCAGAGGCCTAAGCCAGAGGCCCAACTCCAGGGCCCCACATGTTGGGTCCAACCACTTACTCCAGCACACCAAGTAAATAGACAAGTAGTGGTGCAGGCATAGGCACACCACAGGAGAGGCAAAGTAAGCACTTCAGCCCATATTTGGGGTACATATGAGCTTTAAGTTGAAATAGAGGAAGAACTGGCGTTGGGGATAAGAGGCATACATAATTATTAAACAGTCCTGGTCACAGGTGTAGTCTGGTGGACAGAGGTGGGCAGAGCTGTTGTTTGGTTGGTTATCACCTCAGAATTGGTTAGGCATGGCCTGGTCATGATTGCCTGTGGGGTAGTTTCTGACTCTTCTCACAAAATGCTTTCCATCAGTCCTGTCCTTTCTGAATTCCACAATGGCTACAAGGTGATTACAGAGAGAATGGCTCAGAGTAAAGGGATAAAAAATGGAGGCCGGGCTGCCAAACTTTTGATCTGCTTTAGTTACCTTGTACATTTGCAGACCTAAGTAAGGAATTGGTGCTTTTTAGCAAAAGCAGTTTTTGAGTACCTATTTTATTATATTAAGAGTTCCTAAAACAGCACAGCATGCAACTTGCACAGGAGAAAGTGAGATCCAGAGAAGTGTCTTGGCTAAGTTCACATCCATCATCACTGAGGGATGTGAACTTAGCCAAGACACTGTATTGTATGCTGTATTCCCACCCACCCACCCCCATTTTTCCCTTTCCTATGCATGTTTCAGTCTCCCGTTCACAGCTATCTGCTGCATGTGCCCTTCATCCTGTGTGACCCCAGCCCATGCTGCTCCCTCAGCACCTGGCTCCATGCTCTTTTTGTTCAAGTCCACTTACAGGTAGCAGATACAGGGCCCAGCTTGGAGGGGACAGTACTCCAGCTCTTGGATGCTTGCAGCCTCCCTGCTTAACCACACCTGTGTCTCTGTCTTGTTGACTTGGCGTGTGTGTCTGTCTGTCTGTGTTTTGTGTCCCCAGTGCCTTTGAGGACTTGTACCTCTCTAGTTCCATTTCTTTCCTTACAGGGAAGGAGTTGTATAGCTCATTTTTTGCCTGTTTTGTTTTATTCTTGAGAGAAGGGGGTCTTGCAACCTGGAGAGGATTTTGGAGAAGGGGGGAAGACAGATTAGGAAGAAGAGAGAAGCAGTCCCCAAGGTGCTCAGCACTTACACTTAGAGCACTTGCAAGATCTCGGGGGTTGAGGGAGCATAGTTTGCTACATAAAGGAGTTTTCTTCATTTTTGTAAGTATAGAGTTAATAAAACAGTATTAAACAAAGCAAGCTGTAGTGTACCTTTTTAAACAAAAGATGTTGGAAGCTTCCATAGAGTTCTGTATTTGATTTCCTAGTACCTTGTGAGGTAAGCAGGACAGATATTACTGTCCTTGTATTACATGGACAGGAAGTAAAGAGGGGGCAGCTAATATCACATAGCTGTGACTAGAACACAGGTCTGAACACCTCTTGCTACTAGAGCAGATTACCTTTTTTTATCTTCTCTTTCTTTCCTTTTTTTTCTTTTGTTAGTGCTAGGGATCAAACCCACAGCTTTGTGCATGGTAGGCACTGAGTTATATCTTCAGTCCCCTTTTTATTCCTGTTAATTCAAAACTAGGGTTGATCACATTTGCATTTGGGTTATAATATTGTTGTATACTTTTTTTCTTATAGGTCCAATTACACTTGACTACGACATATGGACTCCCAAAGATCTCCAAAGGAAACTGTCCTCATTACAGGAGGAGGTGGCTATTTTGGTTTCCGGTCAGTGTATCTACAAAATTTGCCCATGGAATTATTTTACTGGTGGTTGTTGCAAACAAGTGTAGCTTTCACTTCTGACATTAATTCAGTATATTTTTACTTGTTTGTGTATTGTTAAACCAAAAATGAATTCTGTGGCCCACAACCCAGACATTGAAATTGAAACCACAGATATATTCCCCTTCAAGAAAAATTCTTTATAAAAGGTAGTAAACTGGGTCATGGTGATGCCCCAAAGACAATTTAAAATAATGCTGTGCTTTCAGAATGATGTCATTATAATTTAGGTAAACGAGAAAATTCTTGTTTTTAAAAATTGGAGTAAGTAATGCTTGTATGAATGAACATGTAAAGTGAGGGACTCAGGATGAGTCAAGAAGACTTGGATTACCCATACCCTAATCGGCTAGTTATTTTAGACTTTTTCCCTGGACACAGCCTATGGGTGACTTGATCTAGTTTTTAATCTTTCTGATTTCAGCCTTGGCTGTGCTCTAAAGCAGACGGGAGTCTGTGTGCTTCTGTTTGATATCAGCAGACCTGCTGAAGCCATTCCAGAAGGAATCCAGTTCGTATGTGGAGATATCCGCCACCTCTCTGATGTGGAGAAAGCCTTCCAGGGTGAGAACATCACATGTGTGTTCCATATCGCCTCTCATGGTATGTCTGGGCGGGAGCAGCTGAATCAAAAGCTGATTGAAGAAGTGAACGTGGGCGGCACGGACAACATCCTCCAGGTCTGCCGGAGGAGAGGTGTGCCCAGGTTAATTTACACAAGCACGTTCAATGTCATCTTTGGAGGTCAAGTCATCAGAAACGGGGATGAGTCTCTGCCTTACCTTCCTCTTCACCTGCACCCTGATCACTATTCTCGAACCAAATCTATCGCAGAGAAGAAGGTGCTGGAGGCGAACGGCTCAGCCCTGGAACGAGGCCATGGGGTCCTAAGAACTTGTGCTCTGAGGCCAGCTGGCATCTATGGGCCAGGAGAACAAAGGCATCTTCCCAGGATAGTGAGCTATGTCGAGAGGGGCCTGTTCAAGTTTGTGTACGGGGATCCCCAGAGCCTGGTCGAGTTTGTCCATGTGGATAACTTGGTGCAGGCTCACATTCTGGCCTCAGAGGCCCTGAAAGCTGACAAGGGCCATGTTGCCTCTGGGCAGCCCTACTTCATCTCAGATGGCAGACCAGTGAACAACTTTGAGTTCTTCCGGCCATTGGTTGAGGGCCTGGGCTACACTTTCCCATCCATCCGCCTGCCTCTGGCCCTCATCTACTGCTTTGCTTTCCTGACAGAGATGGCCCACTTCATTTTGGGCCGACTCTACAACTTCCAGCCCTTCCTCACCCGCACTGAAGTTTATAAAACTGGCGTCACACATTACTTTAGCATAGAGAAAGCCAAAAAGGAGCTAGGCTATAAGGCTCAGCCATTTGACCTGCAGGAAGTGGTAGAGTGGTTTATAGCCCATGGGCATGGCAGAAGTTCTGGAAGTCGAGACTCAGAATGTCTTGTTTGGGATGTGCTGTTGATCTTACTCTTGGTCATATCAGTTCTCACCTGGCTTCCTTCTTCTGTGATTCTCTCAATATGAAGGAAGAGCTAGAAATAGGAGCTGATCACACTTGCTGGGATGTTTTTCGAAACCACAGTTTAAAAATACATTTCATGTTGTCTGGTGCCATACTTGGCTTTTCAAATTACCACTTTAAGAGTAGGCGGGGAGCAGGAGGGAGAAATGGCCCAAACAATGTATGCACATATGAATAAATGAATAAAGGGAAAAAAAGAGTAGGTTCTTTGGGCATGAGTCATAGCTCAAGTGGTAGAGTGCTTGCCTAGCAAGTGTGAGGTTCTGAGTTCAAACCCCAGTACTGCTGAAAAAGAGAAAAAGAATAGATTCATTAATTAAATATTTCTTACCTTTTCTCCTAAATGACCCTGTGGGAGAAAAGAAGAGGCAAAGATAAGTTTGAAGTTTGGCTTCTATGTCCTTGCACCTTAGATTGGGGCCATAGAAAGTCATTCTGGAGCCCTAGGTGGGGCTTGATGGTTGGAAGTTATCTTTTTTAAATATCTCAAAAGTCAAAAATACACTTATTTCCCTTTCACACATTTAGCATCTACATTAAGAGGACTAAAACTCAGACTGATATGGAAATGGCAAAAATGAACAGGTTTGAAAATGTGGAAAACACTAACTTGACCCAGATCTCTAACAGACAAGCCTGGCTGTCACAGAGAGGCACTAGCTGTGCACAGCGTAAGCTTTAGGAGTGAACATTTGCCCTTTGCAATACAAGAACATTCTACCTATGTGACCACATGGTAATGTTGAAAGGTAAGCAAATAGACTTTTATCCTACTTCACAGGCTTCTTCTGAGGATTAAATTGTACAAAGTCCCACTCAACATATACAAGCTATTATTCTTCTCATTATTGTCTTTATGAATTCCTTTTGAGGGTTTTCTTTCTCAGAATTCTCTTCAGGAGGGTTTTGTTACTGAGCTTTTGGGAATGTGTTTGGGTATTCCCTCAGAGTCTGCAACAGTATGTGCTCAGTGTCTGTAAAGTTCTGACCTCTTAGGATGAACTGAAGTTTAGGAAACAGCTAAAATCTGATGATTAAGAAGGTGACACCAATGATACCATATTTTATTTTAAAATGTCACACAACTCTAAAATGTGGCTTTCTGACTGGGGAGAAATTGGGCTCTGAAGGCAACTTCCACTGAGGAACAATGGCAGGATTGTCTTGACTACCCACAGGACTGCCAAGGAGGATATTCAAGTTACAAGGTTGCCTAGAAACAGAGTGGAAAGAAGACAGATTTTTTTACCAGTGCCAGGATTTCATGCATGGGGAGGATAGTATTGCAACATGACAGAGGATAGTTGCTATGGGGTGTTATGCTTGAGTTATTCCAGGAGTATTTGAAAATACACATAGATGAGCAGAACTTGTTGAATGCTGCCTGGATGTCTTGGAAAAAAGCCCTGAACTTGGTGTTGGAAGACCTGTGCCATAAATATTTTGTGTGGATTTAACCAAGTACCTGGAGTCTCTTTAGAACTTGGTTTCCTCGTCTGGAAGATGGGACTGACTGTATTTGCCCTTTTTGCAAACTCACCTGGCTCAAACAGTTTGAGCATAAAACAAGATGTATTGAAAGTACATAGAAATATAGAAATTACAACATAAATATGAAGTGGTAGTGGTGGTTATTATTTCCAGGAAAGTGTTTTTGGAGTCTTTCCTATCATGAAGAAGCATTTGCTCTGCTCTGGGGTAACTTCTGTGAGTACCCACAGCACAGCCAGCACTCAGGGCACTCTAGAGCATTTCTGTGCCCTCTGCAGACTTGCAGGATAGAAGTGACACAGCACATCCGTGTGAGAAAGTCACTGATACATGGGTAAGTACAGAAAAGCATGCCCCTTGTCACTGAGAGGTAGCACAGGCTTCCACAACAATGAAAGATGGGTACTTCTCAGTTTTCTTAGATCAAGTATACGGAGCATAGTGAGGTTTTTGTTTGTTGGTTTGGGAGTATTTCCCTCATAATTAGGATACCTAAAAGAAACTCCTGATCAGTATGTGGGCTTCATTGTCAGCCTGGTCTGTGACCTACTTGCCATTCCACAGCATTTGATGCCGGTGTCAACTCCCTCCTTAAAACATAATTTACTTTTATGAACTCACACTCTTCTGGTCTTTGTTCTCATATCACTTATCTATTATTACATGACAAATTAGTCCCTTCCCCCCAAAAAAAAAAAACCAGATGACTTTAAACAACAAATATTACCTGCTAGTTTTTGTGGCACAGGAATTGGGTGAGATTTAACTGAGTACTCTTGCTTAGGACTCTGAGGGTCATCTCAGGAAGACAGATAGCACTGCAATCATCTGAAAGCATGGCTGGTGCTGGAGGATCCACATCCAGGATGGTTTCTCCACGAGATCTGACAGGAGGCCTCAGTTCCTCACCACGTGGACAAGAGCTGGTTCAATGTCCACATTACAGGGGACAGTTTCCTCCAGAGCAGGTGATCCAAGAGGGCAAGGTGAAAGCTGAAGGTTTCACAACTTGGCCTTAGATGTCACACACTGTCACTCCATGGCATATTGGTTACAGAGATCAATTCTATACCACGTGGGAGGGAAATACACAAAAGTGTGAATACCAGACAGTGGGTGCTTGGGCTCCTGGCCCCACCTGAGTCCTTTCTTTTCTAGAAAAGATAGCCCACATTTGCAGCTATCTAGTTTTGTCAGCCTGCTTCCTGCCAGTAGGATTTTAGGACTCCAAAGACATCTTTACATTTTGTGCTACATCTCTTTCAGTCCAAGCTGGCAGTGTCGCTGCATGTATCATTATTTTAAACACTTTCTTTTTTTTTTTTGTTATTCGTATGTGCATACAAGGCTTGGGTCATTTCTCCCCCCAGCCCCCACCCCCTCCCTTACCACCCACTCCGCCCCCTCCCTCTCCCCCCCACCCCCTCAATACCCAGCAGAAACTATTTTG